GGAAGATGGTGGGGGTCCAGACAGCATCTAATGTATCTCTAATCTCCCAAATTCCCTGGTTTCTGGAAACAGTTTAGGCCATCTCTCCAATGTGAGGTGAGAAGGGAGAGGAAGCAGAAGGAAAAATTTTACCTCCAGAATAGAGTCGCGGGCGACAGAGTACTGGGGACTGACAGTGCTCAGAGCAGGACAAAGACCCCCAGTTAGGGACAAGGAGGAAAAATAGCCTCCAGGCTGAGGCACCACTGGGAGTCGAACCCAGGATCTCCTGTTTACTAGACAGGCGCTTTGACCAGCTGAGCCATGGCGCCCATGGCCCTCCTACACTGGGTGCTTGTTAAAACACCTGACCCTCTGCCCACGTCTCTGACCATATGTCCCGCACTGTTGCCCCAGATTTGGAGTTCCCTGGCTGCAAACCCCATCTCTTTTTTGCTGCTAGGAACACTCCTGGTGTTGACCCAAAGCCCTGGCACAGAGAGCCCAACACATCCTGTAAGCATCCTGTTTGGGTTTGGGGGTCCCCAGGTCATACAGGGACATACTGCCCCGCCCCTTGCCCTGGCAGAGTTGTGCCACCTACCACCCTACATTGCCCTGTGGTGACAGCCTCAGTCTCATCTCCCTCTCTGGCTGCTTCCACCTCAGCACCAATGGCCACCCAAAGAGAGTTGTCACCGCAAGAGACACCATGAACCCCGTGGGGAAGGGACACCGGGAGCCTCCACGTTCCACAGCAGCTGGGTAGGGAGGGCAATCTCCACGGGCATTTCTTTGCTGCCTGCCTTGGGCTACCAGGAGGCAATGGCAGGTCAGGCGTGGCCACAGGCAGCCCTAGGGATTTTTTTGTGGGGGGATGTGCGGGTGTCTGGCTGCCCTGCATCCAGCAGGGAGGAGTCTGGAGAGGCAAAAGGACATGGAGATGCTGGGGGTCGATCCCAGGGCCTCTTGCATGCAAAGCAAGCGCTCTCCCGCTGAGCTACATCCCCCTGCCACAGCCTCTACCCTGGCGTTCTCCTTTCTCCGGGAAAATGGCTGTGTCTGCTGCTTTCCCGGGCTGCTCAAGCTGGGGAAAGGGGCTTCAGGGCTTTACAGGCACTGGGGGTCCCTGAGGCGTGAGTGGGCTGGTGAGGGGGTTGGAAGAGGGGGAATAACTGTGGGGCAGAGGAGGGAGGTGATTTTGCAGGCGCAGAGGCCATGCAAGGGCCAAGTGTAGGTGTGCCAAGTGAGTGTGGGCCGGCTGCAGTGGTGGCCGGGGCAGAGGTGACGAGTGGGAATGTGAGGGGCACGTTTGCAGTGTGCCGAGATGTGGACGTGGTAAAAGAAGGGCTCGTCCGGGATTTGAACCCGGGACCTCTCGCACCCTAAGCGAGAATCATACCCCTAGACCAACGAGCCGGGGTGCGCAGCCCCTCCCGCGCCCTTCCCTCCGCCGCCCCGCTCCAAACGCGGCGCGGACGCCGCTGCCCGGGACCACGGCCCGCGCCCGCAGCCCCGCCGCCACACTGCGCCATCAGCGCTGCGCACACGCCACCCCCAGACATGCCGGACACCCGCACTCCGCACTCCCGCACGCTGACCCGCACCCCGCGTCGCTGCCTGCTCCGCTGGCACGGCTCTGAGCCCGCCGCGGGGCTCGGGGCTGTGATGGCCGAGGGGTGAAGGCGTTGGACTCGAAATCCAATAGGGGTTCCCTGCGCAGGTTCGAATCCTGCTCACAGCGACAGGTTTTACCGAATGCCCTAATATCCCCCCACGGGGGTCCCGGGAGGAGCTGATATGGGAGTGTCATGAACAGCCAGAGCACCCTCAGCCCTATCCCTCTCTTCTCCCTCTGGAGCAACTCAGTGCCCCAGGCAGAAACTTTGGTAGTCCCAGGATTCTCCAGGTTTTGCAGACCAGAGTTGGAACATGTCCCCAGAACGCTGCATTCATTGCCCCTCATAGCCCTGTCCCACATCCCTGGGTGAGCAGTGCACCCTGCCTCATCAGTCTGGGTGTTCAATTCTTGTTTTGGGTGCAAGGTCCTGGATTCAACTCTTGGATGAATCTGCCTATTGGGCATCCCCTACCCTCCTCCTTCTGAGCTGCTCCCCCCAGCATCGATGTTCACCCCAAGAGACACCCTGAACCCCGTGGGGAAGTTTAAAAAAGGCCTCCTATGCCCTGGAGCCTCCAGGCAGGGTAGGGGAAGAGCCATGAGATTTTTATACAGCCTTGGGATGCCAGGACACAGCACCAGGCCTTTCCTGGGGAGCTCTGTCAACCCCGCAACCAGCAGGGAGGGGGTAGAGAAGGCAAAAGGACATGGAGGTGCTGGGAGCTGATCTGAGCTACATCTGTCTCCTCCAGCAGCGTCTTGCTGCTAGTCCTTTGGAGTCCGAATGCAGCCAGCCAGGAAAGGTCACCATCAGCACTGGACATGGTGGGTAGCCAAAAGTAAGGGCTCGTCTAAGACTTGAATCCAGGAAATCTTGCACCCATAGCAAGAATCATACCCCTAGATCAACGAGCCAGGGTCCAGCTCCTCTGTTGCTCATTCTGCATCACCCAGACACTTTTGGGGGCTCGGGAGCAGACGGGGCTCTGTATGGCCTCTCACACTCTGGGAGCAGGGAGGTGCCTCTTGCTGTGGCCATGAGATGCCAGGTCCAGCACCTCCCACCCCTAGCACCTCTTTTTTCCCCCAAAGCCCCTCACCAGCCATTTGCAGCAGTTGCAATGTGCAGTGCTTTTTCTGCCACCTTTCTCCATGGGGCATCCTGCAAAGGCGATCCCATGTGAGCAGTGCTTGTCCTCAGTAGCAGCAAATGGCTGTGTCTGTGTGCCAGGGGCTGTCCGTGCATGGGGTGCCTTTGCTGTCCGTGCATGGGGGCCCTTTGCTGTTTGTCCATGGGGTCCCGCAGTGGTGGGGAGGTAGAGGTAAGGGGGGAGTAGAGTGAGGAGTGTGGGAAGTGTGAGTTGGTGGCGTGTGTGAGGTGTGGAAGGGTTGTAAAGGGTTGTACGCATTGTGTCCGTGTGCAGGCAGGGCCCCTTGCAGCAGCGTGTGCATGGAGCGGCGTTTGGCGGGCACTGGGGAAGTGTCCGGGGTGTCCCGGGCCAGAGGGCGCCGGGGGAGGGGGGGGCGGGAGAAGCTGCGCACCGCGGCTCGTTGGTCTAGGGGTATGATTCTCGCTTAGGGTGCGAGAGGTCCCGGGTTCAAATCCCGGACGAGCCCTTCTTTTGGGCACCCAGCGCCCCGCTGCCACCCAGCTGGTGCCCCCAGCACCCGTGGTCACCGCAAGAGACACCATGAACCCCGTGGGGAAGGGACACCGGGAGCCTCCAGGTTCCACAGCAGCTGGGTAGGGAGGGCAATCTCCACGGGCATTTCCTTGCTGCCTGCCTTGGGCTACCAGGAGGCAATGGCAGGTCAGGCGTGGCCACAGGCAGCCCTAGGGATTTTTTTTGTGGGGGGATGTGCGGGTGTCTGGCTGCCCTGCATCCAGCAGGGAGGAGTCTGGAGAGGCAAAAGGACATGGAGATGCTGGGGGTGGATCCCAGGGTCTCTTGCATGCAAAGCAAGCGCTCTCCTGCTGAGCTACATCCCGCTGTGCAAGACCAAGGGCGGTTGGCCAAGTCCCTTAGGCTACACTCCACCCTCCCCGCTGCTGCTTCCAAAGCGCTCCTCCTCTTTTAGGGAGCTGGCCACCCAAAACACTGTGCCCATCCCTGCCGTACAGCCACTGCTTCCTGCCTTCCCACCCCCTGCCCTAGCCTGACCACATTCCAAGGCACGTGGGTGCCCAAAATAGGGCTCGTCCGGGAGTTGAACCCGGGACCTCTCGCACCCGAAGCGAGAATCATACCCCTAGACCAACGAGCCCGCTGGTACTGGGGAGCAGAAAACCCTTTTTTCACTTCGAGTACCCACAGACCTGCCTGGGGTGAGATGGGACCTGTGGGAGGGAGCTTTCTTTGCCTCTGACGAATGGTCACCGTTGAAAGATCACCTTTATTCTTCCCCAGCTGTGGAGATGTCACCTGGGCATATGTAGCAGGTTGCTCTGCCTTAAATGGGGGCAACAACTCAAACAATGCTCTATTTCCCAAACTGTCAGTTTTAAATGAAGAAAATGGGGTCACGTTGCTTTTGGTATTGAATAAAGCTGAAACCAGCCTGACTCATCAATCCCAAATTTAAACATTCTGATAGTGAGATGAAGATATAGTAGAACTGGTAAAATACCAGGATAAAGGAACAAACAAGTAATATTACTGATAACTTTATGAAAGCTGTTGAGCAGGCACAGCTGGCCTGGACATATCTTGCTCACAGTCCATCCTTTTATACTATAAAAGTATAAAAGTCCCAAATTTGAATGCAGGGTTTTCTGACAGATCCTTTCTTGAAGTGTATGTGTGGAGATTCTCCCCTGGAGTGGGGACACTCCTCAAGGTCACTCCTTAAGGCTGAGCCAAAGAGATTTGCCCTTAGTCATTGGTCTGGGTGAGAAACATCAACCTCTACTTAATAATTGGTTTTGGTAGCTTTAACACATTTTCTTTAATAGAATTGCTTCAATATTCCTTCACAGTGCACTATATTGTAACAGTTGTTACAGTGCCTATATTGTGTAGTAAATAATTCTGATTAAGATCTTTTTTGTCTAATCATCATAATAAATAATATATATATGTGTATCTGCTTTATTTTTAATCCTGCAGGATAAAGCTGTATAAAGCTTCTACTACACCTATACAATATTTTAGAGATGAACCACTGATGAAGTCTGCAGCTAAGGTTGGATCCAGCCACACGCAGACTCCTCTTGGAAAAGTTTAGAAAGCCAGGGGTTCCTCTCTGCACCTCATGATTCAGTGGGAGTTTCTAAATTTCATCTGAAGCTCCCACTCTGCCCAGCACAGCATGGCTATGGGCTGAACCCCTCTGGTTTTAAAATGGGGCCACGAGGAGCAGAGGGGGTCAGCAAAACGCAGAGGTGTTGAGAGCCCAGACAGGGGATGTAGCTCAGTGGGAGAGCGCTTGCTTCGCATGTAAGAGGTCCTGGGTTCAACCCCCAGCATCTCCAGCTTTTTTTCCCTCTTCAAACCCACTTCCTCCACAGGCCAGTGATGATAAACTCGCATCTACCTCTGGAAGATCTCCCCAAAGGTGGAGGATGCACCATGGCAGAGCTTCCCCCTAAGGGTGCAGTGGCAGCATGACCCCCACTCAGCCGACCCCCACTGCCCTGGAAGCTCCTTCCCAACCCAAGAGTGGACCAGCCCTGACCATGGCTGAGCTGTGCCTGTGCTCACGGGCACCTGGCAACACCGTGATCCTGGCAGTGATGGGACTATCCTAGCCCAGGGGCTGCACAGCTGGGGAGGCTGCCTGTGCCCTCTGTGCCAGGCAGTGCCTCCCCATCCTTGCCCTGACACCGCAGAGGCCATGCCTAGCCACAGGTGCCCAAAAGTCATCCAGGAGCTGAGCCTAAAAGTCCACAAGCCCACCACTGGCCCAGTGCAAGAGCACTGCACCTTCCCTGTCTACTGCTCTCCAGAGATCAAAAAGCCTGAGGGAAGGGATCACCCTGGGACCCCATCCCCATATGGCTGTGGGTAAAACCTGTCGCTGTGAGCAGGATTCGAACCTGCGCAGGGAATCCCTATTGGATTTCAAGTCCAACGCCTTCACCCCTCGGCCATCACAGCCACTGGTATGCCCTGCTAAGGTGAGGACAGCCCGGCACACCCCACTTTGCCTCAGCTTATGCCATCCCCCGGCCTGGCATGGTGCTCTGCTCAGCCTCAGTACCCACACCTGGAGGGTTGGGAAAAGGGAACATGCAAGGATATTTACTGATGGCTGGAAAAAATTCAGGTGCCTTTGCCATGAGACAGGCAGCACAGGGAAGCATCCTCCAAGGATGCCCAGAGATACAGCAGCTCTCGGAGAGAAAAAGACATGGAGATGCTGGGCGTGAATCCCAGGGCCTCTCGCATGCAAAACAAGTGCTCTCCCGCTGAGCTACATCCCCTTGTGAAAGGCAGGGAGAGGGCCTGGCTGAGTCTCCTCATCCCTGGGGAACACACTGCCAGCCTCGGGGGTCCATCCTGCCCACCCAGCCAGAAAGAGGCACCCGGCCCTCTGTGCTAGGGCCCTGGTTATGCCACAGTCCCATGTGCCAAAGAAGGCAAATGCCCAAAAGGTGAGCTGAATCCAGGATCTCTCACACCTTAAGTGAGAATCATGCTCCAGATCTGTGCCCCAAAATTCTGGGATTTGAGCAGGGTGGCTGATGCTGCCTTTTTCCCCTTGGCAGAGCCTGATACAAGGAAATCCATCTTACAGTGCCCAGGAGTTGGGGCCAGTACTTGTAGGTGTCCATGGTGCTTAAATTCCCTAGATCCAGTGGCCATAGGGCCACGTGGATTATGAAGACAGCAGGGACTCTTGGGCACAACCCTGCCCCTGCACAGGGGCACGTAGCTTCACCGGGAGAGCACTTGCTTTGCATGCAAGAGTCCTTGGAATCAACCTCCAGCATCTCCATGTCCTTTTGCCTCTCCAGATCCCTCCCTGTTGGAGGGGTCCCCCAAGATCCCCCCCAAAAATGCTGGTGCTGTCTGAGGACATGGCAGACCCAGGAGTGTGGGGGGACAGCAGTGGTGCACAGTGGGTGCCCACACCCCATGCCAGCCCCCTGAGCTGCCACACTCATCCTGCCAGCCCCAAGCTGCAGTGACTGGAGGGGAACAAGGGGAAGACCCCAGAGGGCTCTGTACCTCCAGAGAAAAACAAGACAGGTGCCGAACAAAGGAATGATTCCTCTGGGAGTGAGACCCACGTTTTCTCATACCTGAAGACGGAAACACAGCCCAAACCTGCATTGCTGGGCACCTTGACCCCACTGCCTTGGGCTTGCGTGGGTTCCAACTGGCCCATGGGTAAAAGGAGATAATCCCATCCCCAAGACCCAGGGGTGTCCCAGCTTCTCCTGGTGCTCCAGCCCCTCTGGGACAACAGGATTTCCCCAGGCCCTAGAGCCGGTAGTCCATGGCTCCCTGCCCTACGATGCTACATATTCCCTGAGAACAGGAAAGAAAGGATATGACGCCGTGAATCAACATCACGGGGTCAACTCCCATCCAGACAGGTAAAACCTGTCGCTGTGAGCAGGATTCGAACCTGCGCAGGGAACCCCTATTGGATTTCGAGTCCAACGCCTTCACCCCTCGGCCATCACAGCCCCGAGCCCCGCGGCGGGCTCAGAGCCGTGCCAGCGGAGCAGGCAGCGACGCGGGGTGCGGGTGAGCGTGCGGGAGTGCGGAGTGCGGGTGTCCGGGATGTCTGGGGGTGGCGTGTGCGCAGCGCTGATGGCGCAGTGTGGCGGCGGGGCTGCGGGCGCGGGCCGTGGTCCCGGGCAGCGGCGTCCGCGCCGCGTTTGGAGCGGGGCGGCGGAGGGAAGGGCGCGGGAGGGGCTGCGCACCCCGGCTCGTTGGTCTAGGGGTATGATTCTCGCTTAGGGTGCGAGAGGTCCCGGGTTCAAATCCCGGACGAGCCCTTCTTTTGAGCATCACCACCCTGCTCCCGCCTGGCTGGCGCAGGGCCCGACGGAACCCAGCCATCGACTTTTACCTCTCAGGGACACCTACAGCGCTGGGGCTTTGAGCTTAGCGTGGCACACAGAGGGGCTGTGCCTTGCCCCTGGAGTCCCAAGCCATTGGCCCTGCAGCGTGACCTTATTTTTGAGTTGGCAGTGAGATGGGGATGGGCTGGGAAGGGCTGTGTCTCTGGCCATGGGACACCTCTGCCTCGGCTGGTCAAAGCACCTATCTAGTAAACAGGAATCCTAGATTCGACTTCCAATGGTGCCTGGGTCTGGGAGGCTGCTTTTCCTCCTTGGCCCAAGCTGGGGGCACTGTTAGGGGATCCCCACTGCCCCGTGGGGGCAGTTTGGGTGCACGCTTTTACTTAAGGCTGCTTTCAGGGTCCCCAGGGTCCTCCGCTGGACGTAGCAATGACCAAGGCATCCCTCCCACCCAGGACCTGCTCTTGTCTCTGCCCCATGGGACATGCAAAACTCACAAGAAGCAGCAGGATCTGTTCCCTCGGCTTCGCTGTGCAGCCCATAGCCCACCCTCCAGGCTCCTACTCCTGGGCGGGCTGGCTGGAGGGACCCGGCAGAATCTCAGTATCTTCTCAGGTTGCCCAATGGCAGAATGAGCCACCGGAGAGGGCTAATCCCCTCTGGAGAATCTCCCCGTGGGGAGAAGGGAGCTGTTTGGATCCCTCTCCAGGTAGGTCACCCAGAGCCACATTCACCATCCTCGTGCCAGTTGGGAGCCCTTCCACATAAAGACCGTGGCTGACCATTTAGACACTACGTCAGTTTCTCCTGCCATCCCCTTCCCAAAATCTCCAGGGCAGGGGTGACTTTTGCTCCTGGGGAGGATACAGATGCCAGGGTAGACCAGACATTTCGGGGTACCATTTCCTCTCCCGCCCCCGCCGAGTCCCCGTGCGCCGCAAGAATGCGAGGTCACCCCGAAGGTGGGAGCAAAAACCCGACGAGGATGGGATTCGAACCCACGCGTGCAGAGCACAATGGATTAGCAGTCCATCGCCTTAACCACTCGGCCACCTCGTCCTGCCGTGGGGGCCTACCGCCCCCTGCCGCGGCTGCCGCAGTCCCTTCCCGCCCTGTCCCGGAGCCTGGCACGGCTCCGGTCCCGGTCCCGGTTCCGTCGCCTGCTCGCCCGCTGGAGGCCCGAGGTGAAGTTCCCATTCCGACGCCCTCTTAGCGCAGTAGGCAGCGCGTCAGTCTCATAATCTGAAGGTCCTGAGTTCGAGCCTCAGAGAGGGCAACCTTTTACGGTTTTTCTGGGGGTTTCCTTTTGTCTCTCCGCGACCATGCGAGGTGGCTCCGCAGTGCGCCCGGCCCGGACACTTACCGAGGCCTTCTTTTGGCCCCCGCGGCCGGCGGTTTCCACGGGGCCGGACCCTCACGGGCACAGGGCCGGACCCTCACGGGCACAGGGCCGAGGGTTTCCACGGGGCCGCACCCTCACGGGCGTGGGGCGGGCGATTTCCACGGGGGCCGGACCCTCACGGGCACAGGGCCGAGGGTTTCCACGGGGGCCGGACCCTCACGGGCGCGGGACCGGCGGTTTCCACGGGGGCCGGACCCTCACGGGCGTGGGGCGGGCCGTCTCCAGGGGTGGAGGAGGGGGCGGCGCGCGGCAGGACGAGGTGGCCGAGTGGTTAAGGCGATGGACTGCTAATCCATTGTGCTCTGCACGCGTGGGTTCGAATCCCACCCTCGTCGAGATTTTGCTGCTGCCGTGGGTCGTCCGTCCACCGATAAACGATATGCGGGAGGCCGGGAGCGAGACCAGCTCCCCGCACTGGGACCCCAGAAACCCCCCCCGGGTAACGGACAACAGCCACCCCTTCCCCTTCGATAGCATCCCATACCCTGAGCTTTGAGTTTTTACAAAGGAACGAGGCACCTTTCAAGCAACTAAAAATTTTATTAGGTACAAAACACAATTTACAGCAAATAGTATGAGACATGCTCCCAAAGCTCTGTTGGGTTTTGACAGCTGAATTCCAGGTAAACTGAGAACACCAAAAGTAGGGCACAGGCTTCCCTTCACAGGGAAGCAGTTAAACTCAACAAAACTCAGCCCAACAAAAGCGCATGGAGCAGGAACAGCCTCAAAGCACACCCTTTCCAATTTAAACTTATTTCAACTTAGCAGTAAGCCACTCTTGCTATTTTGGGTTTAAGAGAAATAATATAAATGAAATGCTAAAATTTTAAAAAAACTATAAAATTACTTTTTTGGAAGGCAAATTGACAGTTTCAGACTACTGAGGATTTCAGCTTGGGTTGGGCAGGCAAGATAATCAGTTCAGTACAGTAATTTATACTCTACCAGTAGAAGGTTCTGTTTGAGAAAAAATTGCTGGTTTTGTAAGAAAAAGGAAAAGATGATCTGTATTGGAGTACTGCAGACATGAACTGTATCTTCAAATTATTTACTGGGTATTAAACTAAAACCAAGGGCCTTCACCTTCCAA